AACAAGATGTCACATCATTCATTGTCATGTAATTACATCAATATTTAACAATTTGACACATAAATTACATTTCAGATGAACCGACAATATCATCATCATAGTTCTCAATATCTCAACTCCATTAATGCAACGGAAAAGAAATCATAATTTAATTCCAATATCATTAATTCGTCATATGACCAACAATTCTCAATTAAAAGAGAGTTTACAAAGCTCCCAAAAAAGTACTTCAAAGAAAACATCAATTAAATAAAACGAGCGTTCATCCTCGGTGTTACATATCAGAGCAAGACCCAACTCAATCTATACAATACGAGGCGCAACTCTATACCTCAAGCGATCTAATCTTTGTCACATGCGCGTTATCCACGTAGAGACAACATTCAAACAGAAGGGGAGAGATATCATAACAATATAAATGAATGTATGATAGTTAATAGATAAAGTATGGCATACATAATCATAATCTCATACTTTATGCACCAACACCAAATACACAACATCATTTCAACAATCACACCCAACAAATAATAGATCACATCTCTTCAACACCAATATCATAATACAATGAGACCAACTTCCTTAAATATATGCATGTGGTACCATAACAACGTCTCTTTGCCTTTAAGGCTACACCGTCACTTGCCATTAAGGCCACATCATCACTTATGAACATGCATGTAACACTAACATGTTATGACAACAAATGCAACGACACAACATACATTAACAAACCAAGCCAATACAACTCGTTAATCACACATCGTTGTTCATACATCATCGCAACGTCACTACGTCATGAAATCTCTTCATATTCATCGTCATATTCGCAACTTCGTAATTACAACAAACATAGTGATAAAACAAACCCAGGAAGTCTTTTCATACTGTGTTCAATTCACTTTTATTAGATAGAAAATATTTTTAGCTTTTCGTAGGTTCAAACGGCGCGTCAAACGGACACCCGAGTACAAGTTATGAGTTTTTAAAAAATTTCAGAAAATTATTCATTTTGTCTCAGTGGTAATCGGTTACCCTCTAGTGGTAACTGGTTACTGTAGAAACAATAACTCTATATTTTCAAAATTTCTTGTGATAATCAATTTCTCTTTAATGGTAATCGGTTACTACTATTTTCACAAAAACATCTATTTTGCCAAAGTCTTTGATACCCGGTTACCCTATAATGGTAACCGGTTACCTTCTCACAATTTTTCTCATAAATCAAATTTTTGCACGCGGTAACCGGTTGTCCTATAGTGGTAACCGGTTACCACTGCTATTTTTTCAAAAATCTGCAATTTACAGGTTACGATTCTCATCTTTTCAAAACTCCAAAATACTAAATTTTCACATGAAATAGCAGCAATTCATCATCTCAAATAGGCATACATCATAATCATCAATGGGATTACTTTACATCTTCAAAATCAAGAGCTTACACACATCAATTCAACATCTCAAATCATCACATACACAAATAACATACACACCAATTTCACACAAAGAATGATTAAACGATTACTCAACCTAACTCTACCATAACCCATCATCATACAAACTCTTATAGAGTTAGAACCTCACCCTTACCTTAGGTTTTGAATTCTCTTCCCTGCTCTAATGGAGTCTTCCCTTTAGCCCTAGGTTTTTCCTCTTCTCTTCTGTTTCTCACTTCTACGATCTATTTTCTCGTGTTCTCACTTTTGTTTTCTAATAACACATCTTAGACCCCTAAATTCATATTCCCACATTGCCCTTCTTATTTTTAATTAATTATTTAATTACTAATATTATAAATAAATTGTATTTATAATATTAATAATATTAATAATAAATATAATATTGATACTAATAATGCTCATATTCCCCATTCACCTCATGTTCTCTACGCTTTTGGTCATACATCCCCCAACAATTCAACCTCTAATTTTTCAAATAGTATCTCATCACATTATAAAATATGTCATCACCGTAAACACATCATCTCATCTAATTATTTTTAAATAAAAATAACCTTAATTAAATCAGAGTGTTATAGGTTGAGGAGGTTGTTGTTGAGCGCGTTGACGAGGTGTCCTTCACTAATACAAACATCACGACTCGTGCGTCTACGGAGCCATCGGTTCACACTGATGGAGCCTTTTCAGGAGGACCTTCAGACAAGTCCGTGCTGACAGGATTTGTTGACCATGTTGCTTACAGGATATGGCATGGTGAGGTATATATTTTGTTTTCTTTAATTGGAATTTTTTTCAAGTGTTTGAAAGTTGATGTACTTTATTTTTGTTTCTTACAGGAGCGCCCGGTGCTGAAGGTTGCTTCTCATGGTTCAAAGTTGAAGAACTTCTCAGAAAGTCCCATGCCTGAGGAGGTCAGTAGTATTGTTAGAGATTTTCAGCTGCAGAAGTTTGCCTAGTGCTCATTGACCATGTCGAACGCCTCTTTGTTGTCTGCTTTTGTTGAACGGTGGCACCCAGAGACATCATCCTTTCATCTTTCATTTGGGGAGATAATGATCACATTAGATGATGTTGACGCCCTGTTTCACATCTTGTTCGCTGGTACATTCTTCACACCTCCTCATATTAACCATGTGACAGCGGTGCGCATGGTTATGGATGATTTGAAGGTATCTAAGGCGAAGGTGCTAAAGGAGTTTGGCTTTAATCGGGGATTTCACCTTCGAATGTCTTGGTTGAGGAAATTTCACGTGGAGCTCGTGGAGGACCATAGGTACCAGGCTGCCGTTGGAGCGTACATGCTATATCTGATAGCATGTTTGCGGACAAGTCTGGAGTTTACATTGATGTTCGCTATTTGTCTCTGTTTAGCATACTTGACACTCTATGTTGGGTTTGGGGAGTGGCGGTGTTGACCATGTTGTACACGACACCTGATATTACTTCTCAGCATGAGACCAGACAGCTTGCTAGTTACCTTAGTCTTTTACATGTATATTATAATTTATTTAATGATTTTTATTAGTTATTTGAGTGTATTTATATGATGTTTTTATTTATGCAATGTTAGATATATGAGCACTTCCCTCACATATGTGAGCGGAAGATCCAACATGTCCCGACTACTGTTTCATGTGCGAGGAGATCGAAGGGCAAGCAAGCCCATCCAGGAGGTGTGATGGGGTACAAGAGGAGGCTCGATGCACTGACCGTAGAGGATGTCTAGACACCATATACATCTCATCGAGCTCATCGTGCATTTGAGAAGTCTACTTTGTATTCAGGACATATTAGATGGGAGAACCATGTGACGAGACAATTGTCTGAGAGGTGTTTACGCCAATATGGTTATGTACATGGCATCCCTCGTCCAATTTTAAAGACACCAGTATGGTTATGTATATTTTGTGACACACAAACTTCTTATTTATTGCATAATATTTTGGCGATTACATGTTTCGAATCGATGATGAACATAACATAAAACAGTACAACAAACATAAACCAAAAACAACTAAACATGTTCGGGTGTACTAGAATTTTCGTTTGTACCAAAAATTTCAATAACTTTACCGAAAATTGTCCAGAAATTTGTTTGTAACTCAATAAGGGTAATTTTGAAATTAAAAAAAAAAATTGAAGAGTAATGTATAATTTGGGAGGTGGGATGTTAATTCCTTCAAACAATGTTCATCCAAAATGTCAACCACCAATTTTAAGCCACCAAACAACTAATACACTTCAACCTTTAATTGAAGATTTAACCACTAAAACAAACATTCATAAAATCTACAAAAAAAATTAACGTTACAAAAATATAGGAACAAATTCAAGAACATGAACGATGGGACATAAATCAACCCAGTAACAAAAGGCAAATAAGAAAAGTCGAAAACATGAAGAAATGTTAAGACCTATATAGAAAATGTCAGAATTAACAAATAGTCTGACTTCTGGTATGCTACAAATGAATCATTCTGACATCTAGCTAGCTGCTATTATGCAAGAGTTTTGTACATGAGGGATGAAGTTTAGGGTGTGCTAAGACAGCTAAGATGGTTGGACAGTATTCGATTCAGCTTCGGTTTATTTGAGCTGCAAAAAACAAATCAAATATTAAATCAAGTTATTCTGAGTAAATAATAATCATATTGGTGATCAAGTGATAGCCAAACAATAAGATTAAGGTACACACTCATAGGATGGTGTTTAATGGAAATTGGGTACTTGGAATAGTGCAATAGTAAAACAATTGCAATAATCTGCTATTGAATAGAACGGTAGCCAGAAAGTGTGGGAAATTCCTCAAATCCAGGGATTCCTGCAACAAAATCCATTCCAGTTTTGGGTTTTCTACTAATATTTATATGCACGTGTACACATTATCCGTATTGGAAATTGTTGAGACTAGAGATTCCACATAACTAGAAAAACTGCCTAAGTATTCCTTATAAGGCTTGAAGTTGGAAAATCCTCAACTCTTGAACTAGCTTTTGGAGTTGAGTTAGGCCGGAGGAACAAATTCTAAGATTACATTAGAGTCTATCATAGATTCATAGATATGTTATTTATTGTTCCGCCCACATTGGTCCACATTGGTCCACGCTCTAGACATCTAATTTTAAGCGTGAGGAGTGTTGAAGTATTTCTTACATCTTGAGCAACCTTTTGGGGTTGAGTTAGAGTAACAATCGTAACATATACACATAAGTGCAACGATTCTTGGAGTTAGACATATTATTTAACAACACATAAAACAGAATCTTGAACTAGGGACAGGTATTACAGCCAAGGAAGGCTTCAAATTCAAGGAACATGGATGCCTCATTGTCATATATACACCAATTTTGCCCCATTGTCATCTATACACGAATTTTTCCCCATTGCCATCTATCCTCTGATATCAATGCTAACTACCATATAAACTTAGTAATGGGTGGAGCTGGTTTAGCGTAAACCAACAGCAATCAAGTATTTTGCCACTAAGTGGGCTCAAATGAATTTATCAATTAATGCCAACATCAGATATGTATAATACCTTCAAGTGTGCACCCACATCGGGTCCAGAGAGAAAAGTTTCTCACTTCTTGAGCCAGAAGTAGGAGTTCTAGGTGGTGGAGCATGTACAGTAATTGGAAGAACCCACTCAGTTTTTTCTCTTCTTTCAATCAGAAGTGGATGCTCGTACCTGTGGTTCAGAAGCCATTTAAATGAAATATTCCTATAAGAATTATTCTAAACACAATTTCTTCTTTTGGAGTATGAGAGGAAGAGGTTAAGACTGAAAATCATACTTTGTCCAATCCACAAATTTTGGAGTTGTATAAAACTCGAAGCGGAGAACCCATTGCACAGATACATGTGGAGTGGAGAAGGTCATTGGACCATCCATGGGGACAGAAAAAAGGAAACTTGTCTGGAGCAAATCTGCAACAACCTCGTGATGGTCACTCTGAACCTAAAAACACAATGGAGATCATATTTTTCAGAATCAGAAGCCAATATTATGTAGAAATATATGCATTCTCATAAGTTTTCAGAAGTTAGACAATGATCTCATTGCCTTTTGAATATTGCATAAAGAAAGTTTGGACATATGCAGACAAAACACGACACGAGACACCAAATAATGCAGACAGACACTACTAGATGAACAGTTCTTTCAAATAAGTTAATAAGAGATTGGCCTTTGAATAGTCCGTGCATGTTGCTCAATCAAAAGGCACCAGTAAACTGCAACTTCATTACTAAAACTGAATAACGCAGTATGGTAACAGTGGGCTTTTATGGTTAAAGCAAATGGTAAGTAGCTTAGTGCAATTATGTAGAAACACTGATTGATATATAAACAAGTATTAGAGGAAATGTAGAAATGTTTCAAGCATTTTTGTGATAAAAGAATGGAACAGTTTGATTAACAGATGTAGTGGAAGGACAAAGAAAACTTTCGGAGAACCCTTGACACACAGACTTCAGTCCAAATGGATGCAATGAAATGTTGGTTTTAGATGCAGTCAATCAATAAAAATTCAAAATAGCTTGAGTAGTGGGAGCTAAAAGACCAGAAGTAACTACCTTGGTGATTGTTGGGGAGTTCCTTCTAGAAGGATGGACGAAGCGTCTATTTATAGTTTCTGAAGTTTCCAATGTTACTGAGATCTGGAAAATTATAATTATAAAAATAAACTCCAGTGCATCATTAATCAATCAAGATAAACTATTTGCCAGCTATTAATTTAAATCTTCACTGCTAATGAAAGTGCACTCACCTCAAGGCATCTCCTAGCTCCTTCCTCGGGAAAGAAAGTTAGAGTCCCACCTATCTGTATCCATAAAGTTGTCATTTTATTGATTTCGTAAATTGTGCACATTATCCAATTATGCATTAATATATTTACCATGTCGCTGAAGTAATAAGTTGAGTCGGAATTTTTTGGAGAAAATTTAAGCAAAATTTGATCATCAAGTCTGATGTTATAAGACCTTCCTCTGATGAAGCCTTCTGCTGCAGAAAATGTCTGTACAAAATTAACTAATGCACAATTTTAAAATAAACGAAGAACAAAATTGGTTTGTATCAAAAACAGACAAATATGTTTTAAAAATGAATAATATGCATCAACTTACATGATAAAGATTCGACACCTCCAGCTTCCGGTGAAGAGGAGACTCCTGCGTCATCTTCTGCAGAAAATTGCTTCCCAAATTTCTGTTGCTCCATGGCAAATGACTTCTGAGTTGATAGGGCATCTGTTTGCTAAATGAGTTATTAATTGGCAAAGTATGATTTTGTATTAAAAGCAAAAGATGACTACTATCAAACAGACACCGTTGAACTAACTTGGTAGTGATACAGTTTCAGAACTAAGTTCCTACAAGAAAAAGAGTAGTTTCATAAATAAACACACATATTTTATAGGCATAGTTTAACTTACCAGCACCAGAATCAGATAATACTTCAGCAACAGACAACCGGGGAAGTGCTATATTTGAAGATAAACTTGTTCGGTGACCTTCCAAAGCATCCCTGTTCAATGATCTTGCAGAAGAAGATCGCAATGATAGAGAACTTCCATAGCCTCTGTACATATTTTCTTTCGTGGGGTTATACGAAGAAACAGATGATATATCATCCCTTGAGCTGTCATAATCCTCATCAACACCATCATCAATATCATTTGCTCTAACCTGTAAAGAAATTATTATAATTTACATCCATAGTCAAAGAAAATGTGCAGCATGCAGTAAGTAGAAGCTACTTCGAATAAAAGAACATGTCAAACGATGGCCAAAACTTCAACCAGAAATTATGGAAATACACAAGTCCCATAAAAGAATTTGAAAAATAGTACGGTACAGTTTAACCAATAACCAGAACTGAATTCTTTCTTAGAATAGGGAAAATAGGAAAGAGATTTAGATTTAAAAGAAGGACATGGAGTATAATTAAGGATGAGATCAAATCAAACAAAAAAGGGAAAAGAATAACAATATCAAAACACAAATGGAACAAATGAAATAAGCCACTCCAAATGCAAAGCTTAGTTTACCGAATAAAAGGAACTAAAAGTTATATAATGAAAAATAAAATGGAAGATATTCTTAAAACAATAGGTGGCAAACAAAGTTAGGCTAAACCACAGATAAGTTTAGTTTACCGAATAAAAAATATCACCAGTAGCATACCCAATCAGCATCTCCATCCATCTCTTTCCAAAATATATCCAGTTGTACAGTAGTTAAGGGAACAATATCTGAAAACATAAACACGTGAATATATAACTTGCAAATGCAGGGTAAGATGCTTAAGACTTTCTGAAGCCACATCACATAAAAAACAGCAAACTTATTATTGATATCTGATTATCTGCAAATTTTTCTAAACAACGAACAAATTATTCAATGCTATTAGGCACCAACAAAGTTTGTCAAAGTCCCATATCTCCTAAAGACATATTTTTTCCTGTATTGTAAACAGTAAAGTTGAATTTGAAAAAAGGCCAATACAGCAATACCATCATGTGTGATAACATAATATAGTTTAAGTATGTCTCCTTAGGTTTTCACATGTCGGTCTTGATGGGACTAATGTGTACTGATCATTTGATCCACTTTTTACGCAGGTTTGGTAGCACAACCATCTAGTCACCAAAACAATGCCTTTAGACATCAAATTCCCAAGAGTCAATTCCCCTTCATTCTTAAACAAATAACAATCCTCCCAACTAACAACAGATATCTCTCTCTCCCACACCAGACCGATGAAAGTCCCATATAATTTTTTCAGTCTTTCCAAAATTTCTTCAGTCTTATGTACAAGAAACCCATAAAACAAACTTGTTCTCAAGCTCTTATAGCACCGTTGCATATCCTTTATTCGTCTCCAATTGCTTTAAAGCTACAACAATTAGAGTCTTACACACTAGAAAACTTGAAACTACTCTTCTTTCCAATTAGTCAACTTTTTCTCAAGTTTTAAGTATACAGAAATCAAACATTTGAACGAATGATTAACCAATTGCTGGTTAATCAATGGCTCTGTGATAAATGTTATATATGAAACAATGGCTCTGATAAATATTAAATACGACACAATAACTGCCAGCAACAAATTTTTACATTTTAAGGCTAAACAGAAGCAAACAAGAACTAAAATGCGTACGAGGAAGTATAAATCAGCCACATAAGCATCTAGCAGAAACCAAATTTGTTCTGCATTAACATTCAAAATTCATAATAAACCTATTTCTTCAAATGGAGTGGTTTTCCTTTCCCAAATACAAATCACTCATAGTTAAGAGTTTATACAAAAGAACGTCTTCAAATTTAATCCTTTATAAACTTAATACTATTCCTAAGTAGAAAATATCAAGTACGTCTCTATGGTCAAGTCAGACTCTTTTAATATGTTTACAAGAAAACTAAAATAAAAATGAAAGTCAGCAACCAAACTAACCATCATCCTTTGGAAATCCATTGCTTTTCTGGTTTACCCATATTTGTAGTGGAATACGAACTTCCTGCAGAATTAAAAGTTAAAGGCTATAAGTTGGAAAATAGGCATATTAATACTTATCATGAGACTAGGAGCAAAAATAACAACCATTAATAGATGTAACCCTTACTGAACATAAAAGACAGACTGCAAATTATACCACTGAGCAATCAAACAACAACAATCAAGTTTTATTTCACTAAGTAGGGTCAGCTACATGGGTCAAACCACTGTGCAATCAAGACAGGAAAAAATAAAAATATCCCATAACTAAGCATTTCTTATAATCATGAAAAAAACAATATAGACCACATGGTAATAGAAGCATTGAGACTATATTACTATGTCATTATCGTAAGAACCTACTCAACATAATAAAAGTCTAAGCTGAGATAAAGGCAGGTGATGGTTTTCATATAATATCTCCAAAAAAATCAGCATGAAAATAACACGATGCAGAGTACATTCCAATACAGTTGCAATAAGTCATTGCAAAACCAACCAAATCAGTAACATCTTTTGTTGGCTCAGTGCGAGATTGCCCATTTTCCAGAATTAGCCACCCTCCGGTTATTGCACTTCTAACATAGTACAAATAGCGAATGTTTGAACCCTTGTACGATGGTGGAATAATGCTAGGCAGCATTGTTCTCACAACATCTGCAATTAACATCCAAATACAATCTCGTGAGTTATAAAAAAACAGTAAATTGGCAACTAGCAAACATTTCATGTTGTCTTACTGTCTTTTATTTTCAAACATAAATCATTTAGTGTAGAACTTGACATACATGATTTGCTTGCGCCAGCATTAATAATCTGGTTTGCTACTAGGATTGGTGTTGAAGAATCTACAAAAACATGTTCACCTGAAACAAAAATGCAAAATTCAACAACAACAACAACAACAATAACACTGTAATAAAACTAAAAATTCTCATCAAAGTGTTAAGAATTTAATTCATCTACACTGCCAACATAAATATTTATGACACCGTCAATCAATTGTAACCGTCCAATCATTAAAACATTTGAATTTAATCATAGCTACTTTTTAAGTCACGCATATATCAAAATTAAATTCAAGGGTCAAATCCTATAAAGCACTAACACAGACACGGATACCGGACAAAGACACGTTACACTAATAATAATTTGAAAAATATAATAATAAATTGAATGTAACCATAAGTATCTGTGTGTCTGCAAGTGTCACTGACACTTTTTTTAGAGAGGTCAGTGTTCACGAGATTAAAACTAAAAAATTAAATATCAAAAACAACCAAAAGTGACTAATACTCCAAAAGACAATAAGTGCAATGCAATTATGCAATTGGCAACGAACCTCTTCTTTGCCTTGAACTAGGTAAAGCCTTTTGAGTAACAAACCATTGAGTATCCAATTTCTCAATGCCTCTGATTTCAAAACTGAGTCTTTCCATCAAAAGAGAGTACGCATTCGAAGGATTCGAGATCTGAATAGTGACAATAACAGGATCACCAGGTCTATAGACTTGTTTATCAGTTTCAAGCGTCAATGTAGGAAGAATCTCTCCATTCTTTGACGAATTGTTATCCACCGAACGAGAATCTCCACCTCCGAAAAACGATAGTTTCCCCTTTAGCATTGCTTTTTTGCTTCAACGTTTGAATTATTGTGCGTCGAATCCAATCCCTGTTAAAGCGATTATTTGGTAATCGATTTTGAAAATTATGCAATCAATGAATGAGAAATTGCAATGAGAGTTTGATTTGAAAGGGAAATTGAGGAAGGAAATGAGTTACCGGTAATGATCTGAGTTCTGAGCTGCAGAGTGTTCCTTGTTCTCTGACGGGATCTGATCTGAGTCGCAGAAAAAATCCACTATCGATAATTAGATGTAAATAACTAAATATTGTTATTGACTATTTTAATAATAAATTTTCAAATTAAAAAAATGGACTTTATCCGTAATATTACACGGAGATCCCATCATAATATTTTAAAGTATCAAATTATAAAACTATAATATAAAAACAATTTATATTATTAGAGCATCCACATCCATCATACTTATTTGGGTTCTTTAAATGGGATCCACATAATTTTTTATATTATTTTATATTTCTCAATTTTTTAAACAACTCATCTACCATTCTCAAATATCTATGTAACTCATCAAAAAATTTAAAATGGGTCTCACATTTAAAACAAATCAACTACATTCTTGCAATTTTATTTATTAATTTATTATCATGACCCACTTAATTGGAATGTAGAAGCGTGTTTTAGTATGAGGACGTGTTTTAGTTCAGGAACGTGAAAACAAGTGAAATATCCATTTATTATTGACACAATTTCTTTAATAAATGTGTAGGAACTCTCAAAGAACACCGATAATCATGTTCTTAATGTTTTATCTCTTTTTTAAAACAAAAATGAAATTTTTGATTTTTTACAGATTAGATATTTTTTTATATAACTAAATTAAAAAATTTCAAATTTAAGTACGGTAGGCAGAGAGGAAGAGACGAAAGGGCAGATGGTGGATCCACTCCTCCCAACCATATTTGTGGAGTATAACTACTAGTCTATTTTTAATGCGGTAGAATTTTTCGAGTGTCGCATCTCCTTTTCAGAGAATTTTTCTAGCGATTATCAATTATTTCATGGTGTATCCTCCTCCCATTTGCAAAACATGTTGGAGGCTCAATTGTTAAGGTGTCTTATAGTGGGGAAAACTCAAAGAGAGAAATATTCGAGCACTATTCGAGATTTATAAACTAGGACAAACTTGGCTCTGAGGAAACGTTCATAGAGGCAATGAGGCGGTTAGAGCGTTGAGGGAAAGGCATAATGCTTTGAAGGTGCGTACTAATGAGATAACTTCGGCCTCCCTTACTCAATTTGAAAAGGTGGGGTGCTTGGAGCAGTCGCCAAGGGAAACTTATAGTTTCACCAAACACTTGGATGAGAATCGTTAGGTGATGCTTATAAGAGGTTCAATAGGTTATTAGTAGTATGTCCCACTCACAACATGGATAAAACAGAGAAAATGTAAATGTTTATAAATGGCCTTCGAATGAAGACAAATCAGCTTATTGATACAGCAGTTGGTGGCTCATCCAACTTTACAGCAGCCACTGATGTGAAGAAGACTATTAAAGTCATTGCTGCAAATGAGCATCCAGAGCTATATGACAGAGTTGTAAGCAAACCAGAGAGAGTGATTGATTTGAAGTTGGAAACTAATAAGCAGTTGAAAATTGAAGAAGCAATTGCTATAGAAGTAGAGAAAAAGCTGAAAGCAATGAATGTTGGTACTCAACAGGTAGCTCAGGTTCAACAGGTACAGAAGGTTGTTTGTGAAATTTATAATGGACCACACCTTACGGTGCAATATCTTGCAACTCCACAACAAATTGAGGGGATAAAATTCTTGAGGCAAAATAACACGTATTCTAACACTTATAATTTTGGGTAGAAGAATCATCCTAACTTCTCCTGGAAAGATCAGCAACAATAAGCTCCTCAAAAGACATAGTGGGAGTTGGCTATTGAAAAGATGGCTACCCACACCTCTCAATTTCAAGAAAGGATAAGGAGTAATTACAGGAATACCACATCTACAATAAAAAAATTCGAAGTTCAAATGAGACAGATTGCACAACAGGTAGCGTTGTGAGCACAAGAAAATCAGAAAAATCATGAGAATGTTAATATTGTCACAACAAGGAATGAAAAAGCTGCTGAAGAGAAGAAAAATGAGGTAAAAATTGATAATAATATCATAGAAGTAAAGCTAGAAGTGAGAGAGAACAGGAAAAAATAGGAAGAAGTGGTATCATCTGCGAAGCCAGTTGAAGAGAAGACTAAACCAATGATCAAGTTACCGTATCCATCTCAAGTGGCAAAGAAGAACACAAAAGAGAAAGAGTTTGATAAATTTGTCCAGTTGTTCCAAAAGCTAGAGATTAACATACCATTCTTTGAAGCACTCGAGAAAATGCCTTTATATCAGAAATTCATGAAGGAGGTATTATCAAAGAAGAGATCAATAGGAGAGGGATCGGTACCCTGTAATGAGAAATTGTATGCAATTGCGCCCGAGAGAAAAATACATGTCAAGCAGGAGGATTTAGGGTCAGTTGTAATACAATACACCATAAAAAAACAGAACTTTCAAGAGGGTTCTAATTGATTCTGGTTCTAGTGTGAGTTTGATCCCATTGTCTATTTTCAAAAAGCTAGGTATTGAGAAGATAAGTGAGAGTGAGACTAAATTGAAATTTGCTTATCATACCATCAAACAGTCATGTGAGATAGCTGAAGATGTATTATTAGAAATTGATAATTTTGTTTTCTTAGTTTATTTTCAGATCATGGACATCTCTGAAGATGAAAAGACTCATATCATTTTTGGTCGACCATTTATGTTGACTAGTCGATGAAATTTTCATATCGAGACAAGTAATTTGACACTTAAATCATTTGATGAGGAGATAAATTTGAAGGTGTTGGAGAACCAGAAGCAAGGTGCACGTGGAAAGAATAAATCTTCAGTCAGAATGATAAAAGTAGAAGGAGAAAGCAACAGTTCAAAATCACTCCCAGAAGAAGTCTGAGGAAAAATCTCTCAGGTGGCATCAATAAAAATTCCTAAGCTCAGTCAAGAAGGAAAGAAAAGAAAGAAAAAGGAACACCGACCTGAGAAGATGGAAGTTGGAAGTGGATAAAAACGCAAATAGGATGATACTATTGATCTGAATGAGTTCTGGATTACGGAAGAGACAAGCAACAAGGTATGGAAGAGAAAATACCCCCATAAGAAGATGAATCGTCGAGCCATGCGATGTTAAACGAAGCGCTTCGTGGGAGGCGACCCACGCTTTTAATAACTTAGTTACTACATGTAATAAAAAGAGAGTCTTACTGGTGAAAGCTAGGAGCCAGCAGCATGTGTTGTATTCCCCTCTGTGAGTCACCTTCCTCGAGCTTGTTCTAAAACATTAGGGTCAATGTTTAGTTCAAGTTTGGGGGGTTTTATTGCTTTTCTTTTTACTGATTTTTTGTTTGATATGTTTATTGGTTTTATGCTAAGTGTTGTGTAAATCCACGAGTTAAAGTCCTTCCCAAATTTTGCCGAAATTTTTTGTTTTGTTCAAGAACTTGTTTCTTATAGAGTTCGGGAATAGTATATAGAGACAAGGGGATGGTTGTTGGGAGGTAGGAATTTTGAAATAATATGACAGTGATACGAGTCTAACGTGTAGATTTGTACCATAGTGCTTCAATCCTGAGAAGTACTCCTGAAGTAGTTTATCCTCACAGTCTGGCATAACATAGATTCACATGCATGTATGATTGATGGAAATGAATAAAGTTGGCACCAAATGATGAAAAGGCGGTAAAAGGCAACTGGCTCACTAATTTGGGTAGCCATCATCCGGTTATTCATCCCAAAGGGGGTTGATCCCCAAACATCGTCCAAAAGGACAATATATAACTACAAAGTTTGAAATTTCCATCGATAATTAAAAGTAGCCAATGCTTCTATTTAGTGCCTAAGCAAAAATTCTTGATTAGTCTTGTGCATGTGATGATCATCATAATTCTCATTGCTTTAATTTGACTGTCCTAATGAAAAAGGAGGAAAATCGGAAAGAGACTTAAGTACAAAGCATAGTTAGAGAGGTGTCTGAAGAGGAAACTCTAGATTTAAAGATTCTTAAGCAAACTCTTCGTGTCATGTGAACATCAGACAGACTGCTTTTTGATCAACTTGAATGGATGCCTCATGTATGAGTATCGGGCTGCTGTGATTTTCATGAGTTCTTGTAATGATCATTTGAGATCAAGCAACGGTTTAAGTTTGTGGAAGTTTGATCAGTGGTTTTTCCACCTTTATTTAGAGTTGATTTTAATTATAGTTTATTTACTTTGTCAAGTGTTTTAGTTCGTTCTTCTGTGTTTTATGTGTTGGTTGTGTATTTTGTTGTTTTCAGGCTCAAAGGAATAAAACCAGGAAAATCATTGTGAAAAGTGCAGAATTTGGAGTTTCAGAGGAAGTCTCAAAAACCAAGCTACAGGGTGCCTAACACGGCCACCCGTGTCGCCTGACACGGGTCGTGTCAGGAGAGGATGCTCAGCAGGCAGGTTTGGGAGAAGAGGCAGAGGCTGACACGGTCCATGTAAAAAGGTCTGGGCGAGAGAGTTATTGGTGCGATAGATAGAGAATGACACCGGTGCTCGTATCAGGTGACACGGCCTGTGTCATCCTATGACACTAATTTCCTGATTTTTTTCATACTTTTTCCATATGTTAAGTTGTGAGGGGGTTTTGGGTACTTCCAACCGGCCTGGATGAATGGTGACTATTTAAATGAGTTTTCACAAGGAATAAGGGAACTTTTTGGCAGTAAAGAATATTTTACACGTCTGAAGATTAGAGAAGTCAGGGTTTTCGGAGAGCGAAAAATTTCATGCGTGGAAGAAATTGAAGATCAAAGTTTATCCCAATCCTTAGAATGTCTATATTTTCTCTTGTAATTATTTTGAACAATATGAGTAGCTAAACCCCCCAATGTTAGGGGGTGTCCCTGATTCGAATATGAAAATGATTATGAATTCTTGAGTTCTTTAATATAA